CTTGGCCAGGCGCTCGTTGGCCAGGCGGTTAGTCTCGTGATATCGCTTGATCAGCACGTCCGGGGGCAGCTGCCACCATACATCGTAAGCATCCACGAGCACGACGAGATCGTTGTCTCTCAGGCGGTCTCCCTCGTGGGTGTCTGGGTGAGTGACGGTCTCGAGATATTCCAGGGCGCCTGTGATCTTGGCCAAGTGGGAGCCGCCAATAGCCTTTCCTTCCGTCTTTCCTGTGTCCTTGCGCCAGTTCAATATCACAGGGCTAGGATATCCCAATGCCATCCCGCTAAATATGACCTTGCACACCGCCGAGCCAGAGTCATCGGCGGGGAGGAGAATGACCAGACGGTGGTTTCCAGGTGGAGGTTCCGAGATGTCAGCCATAAATCGAGACTCTTCCTCCCTGAAGTAATTCATCGCCTCTTCAGCCTTCCTTCCACTCTCGTCAAGGACAGGCTGCTTGTGAATCTGAGGTATCTGGGGCCTATAGTATCCCTTGGGCTTGGCCTCTTCTTCGGATTCGTCGTCGACATGACCATGTCGCATCTTATCCGCGGCCTTTAATATCGCGGCGGTAATAGTAGACCCGGGCACATGGCTATCGGAATCGGGGACGGGCATGTTGGGAATCTCAAGGTGTGCGGGCGTAATGCGCACCGCGCTACCAAGAGCAACGACATCGTCGGTAAGATCGGAAATGTAGTCGCCACCCTATTGCAAGCGAAAGTCAGCTCCAATGTCTTTGACACAACAAGTAATAAGAACACACATTGACAACCATAAAGGTAAGCAGGGCAGGTATCGAGATAATCGATACGATGAGCAGCATCAACGGACGATTCGAAACGCGTAGCAGCCGCCTCGGAATGTGCCCGAATCCGTTCAACGCCTTCTCGCTGGGTTCAACGGGCATGTTGTGAAGGGGGATGTAGCTGCTCGTGTGCCATGTCTGCGTCACGCCGAGGACGAACTCGCGAACAGACTCCATTCGATGCCCGATCCGATCGCCTGATTAAAAATAAAGAAAGAAAGGAAAGGCTGGGCGAACAGGGAGAACAGGGAGAAAAGGGAAACAAGTGAAGAAACGAACAAACTGCCAGCAGTTTGGAGAATAAGATGAGGGCACCGTACGTATGAATGATATGGACGATCGACTGATAGTTATACAATCAGCCTGCGCCCAGCCCCAGCCAAGCCACCCGTAGATTTCCTGCGACTGGCCAAACTGGCATGAAGTGTTTCCCAAGCGCTCGGTACTTGGAGAAGCCGTGACATCAGGGGCCATGTCGGCTGTCCCATCGATCAACCAGTCCTCTCTACACCCCGGACCCCCCACCTTCTCCAACGGGAATCAGACAAACAATTAAGCCAATGGACAGGGCTGGGTGTATACGCGTACGTAGGTTAGACTGCCAAGTGTGTCAAGGCCCCATGGTCTAGATGGGCACGAGACGCGTGTAGACCCCGACGGTAGTGTCAAGTTTCTTTTTATCCGCTTGAGGAAGTAACGGCAACTCTCAATCGGCTATTCTCAAGGTCCGAGCGTATATGTTGGGCGCAGATCTATGAGTCTCCATTTACTCAGGCATCTGTTCCTCCAAGCGACAAGATCAGTGCGCTCATCCCGCAGCGTAGAGAACTCTTCCCCTGGTACTCCTGCCTCGTCATGCGAACCATTCGAAACCCCCCATCGGCGGCTAACCTTATAGCGAAGCATACGCCCGTTGCTAAAAGAGACACAATCGCTGGGGTAGGGCTAGGAGGAACCATGTCTTGAGACGAATGGATCGGCCTAGAGCCCGTAATATGAACCAGGTTCATGGGGAAATGTAGCCTTCGAGTTCACTTGCGGACTCGAGAAACGTCGAGGGGTCGGTCTTGGCTTATGAAACATGGACAGCCATGATCGGGGGATTTCAACACTCGTGTCCCTGTTTGATGAGCAATCGCCCAAACATGCCACGCAGTCGAGTTGCATAGCGATGCGAGGACATCGTTCATTATCCTTGCCGTCATCATCCTTGTCCTCTTTTCATTTGGCAGGTTGTTTTCTTAAGCCTCGTTCATCTGCTTCTTTATCGACCCCGCCATGACGCTATCGCGCCCAATGCCACTAACAAGTTATCGCAACACGCAAAAAACCTGGGGCACTTAGACACGCACTTTGCATTTCCTCTTTCAATGAGATAGAGAATACAATTAAACACTCTTCTCATAAAAAAGGCGAGATCCCTCATAATCGGGAATTTATCAAATTCTATTTCCATTCGGATTTGTTTCTTCGGCACGTACTTGTTTTTCGCCCACTTCCCGCATCGCCGTTTCACACTCGTTGCACCCCCGTCTCAACTCCGTCTGAGGACCAACCAGAGACACCGGGGTAGATATACCCGTAGTTTCTCCCCCAGATAACAGAGCTCAAGAGAAGAAATGTAACCATCATAAAACTCGGCCATCATACAGATTGGCCTAGTGCATTTTCTGTGGTAGCATTCGAAAGACGACATCATCAACAACGCCCCCCGATAGTCTCACACGTCAACGTCACAAGTCGAGAATCTGGCAGCTGTACAAAGTCCGAGGTAACGTCTTGGCCAAAATGTACCCTTCTATCGCTTGCACTTGAATCATGATGCGCCATATCATCGCCCATAATAGTCTTTGACCATCGGATCATCCAACCCTTTTCGTGCCATAGTTCCGTTGTCAACGCGTAATACCCTTCCATTCCTTTCTTTTTTGCCGTTCCCTGACATCCATTGCCATATCCATTCGTTTTCGTCTTCGTCGCCATCCCCTCCTTATACGCTGATGGTCCGGAAGACGCTAAACTCCTCACCCGTCGCCACCAGGCTGCCGGTGATCTGCGGGTGCCAGTGCACCTCCTTAACGTCCTTGAGGTAGTGCACGAACAGCAGTTGCGGCGGCACGTCCTTAACACCGGCCGTGTCCTTGCTCTCCTCGTCGTCCAGCTCGACGGCCAAGTCCCACAGCGTGACGGTGTTGTCTGCGGCCGCGACGGCCATGATGGAGTCGTCGGTCGGGTGCCACTCGACGCTTGTAATCTGCTCCTTGTGGAAGTTGAAGCTCGCGATGGGCTGCGGCTTCTGGGTCTCGGCCTTCCACTGGCGCAGATCCCACACAGCCCACACACCGTTGTCGTCGCCCGAGGCCAGCAGGTGAGACGTCTGGCGGGACCACGACATGACGTTTACGTCAACGTCGGACACCTGAACGGTGATGGCGGCCTTACGCGACTTGGATCGCACATCCCACACGCGGATGGTGCCGTCGCTCGACGCCGAGGCAAAGACAGACTGCTCGGACGGCGACCACTGCAGCTCCTCAACGCTGCTGGCATGGCCCTGGAAAGCGCGGTTGTCAGTGACCCAGCCGCCGCCGTCAGTACGCGACGTCATGTAGATGAGGCCGTCGTTGTCGCCGGTGAGTAGGCGGCCGCCAGGGACGGTAGGTGACCAGTCGAGAGCGTAGCCCTCACTCTTGTGGGCCCTCACGGTGGAGATGGGCTTGTTCTGCTGGGCTGAGATGGTGGTGCCCGGGTTGTCGAACGAGGCCAGGTGCGGTGTGATGTCGTGGATGAAGACGTTGGAGGACTCGGTCATGGTGGCTGTGAGGGTGGTGGGTGGCCGGCCGAGCTCCTGGCTGGGGATCTGGTGGGAGCGGATTCGGTTGGTGGTGGAGCTGAGGGGAATGGACTTGCTCTCGAGGATGGGGTCCGAATCCTCGTCGTCGTCGCCATCCGAGTCGGAGTCGTCGCCGCGGTCCATCTTGCTGAGGCCGCTGAACTTCATCACCATGATCTGGTTGTCGGAAGCCTTGGCCGACTCGGCCTGGGTGCCGGCGACGGTGTACATGGTGGCCGGGTAGGCCTTGCGGGCGTCGCCCAAGCCGTCCTTGACGATGTCGAAGGACAGGCACGGCCAGGGGGTGCTGAGGTTGTGCAGCATTTCGTAGGTGGTCAAATCGGGGGCCAGCGTCTGGCCGGGTTCGAGCTTGCTTCGTCCGACGATGAAGGTTCCTTGGTCGACATCCATGGCGTCTGGAAAGAATTGTTCAGCCCAAGGATTCCCAGAAAGAGCCCTCTTTCACAGTATGGCCGTAGCATCATTAGGTGGGAAACATACCAGCGGCCTTCTCATCAGCCTCCCGTTCAGCATCTGGCCTGCCGTCCACACCAGCCTCGAAGATCTCGTCTTCGCTCTCGAACTCGTCCTCGAACTCGTCTTCGAAATCGCCCATCTGATTGTCGTCGACGTCCATCTTCTCGGGGCGGTCGCCACCCTTGAGAGGCGCATCGCCATGCTCGGTATCGGCAGTGCGCTTGGCCATTGTGTTGATGGTGGGGTTGATGTGATTGTGATGCGATGCGATGCGACGGTAGGAAGGGTGTCGGAACGGCTAAAATTTCCTTTTTAAGCTGGGAGATTTGATCCAGACGTCAACAAAGGTGAGTCAATCGAAAACACCATACGCCGTATTCGAGATGCCGTCGTAGATGCAAGGTGTAGATGCAGACCCAAATTCCAACTGAAATTTTGACGCCGAGCCCCTCCAAAACCAAATCCTCAACCAGTGCGCAAAGAAAAAAAATTAGGAGACATCCCCCGCCATGACGCAGTGGGGTAGGACATGTGCCGGAGATTAGCCGTCGGGCAATCGATAAGAGAGGTCATGTCAACCGTTCTGAAGAGATGGTCGCAGCAAGATCTCATGGAACTACCTAGAGAATGACGCCTGTCTGTGCGATGGAATCAATCATGTGACACGGAATGCGCGACTGTGCCCCCAGGCTGCGACATCATTACAGACGGAATCAATCCATTGTGTAACCCGCCGTATGATCGTGCAGCCGACAGTGCAGTGGCAGAACTACAAGCAAGGTTCGGGCATCCCGGGTCCCTGGTGTTGCAGGCAGGTATTCCAAATCATCAACTGGCGAATGACAGTTAGCACAGGGAAAAAAGCAAAAAAAAAAAATGAGGTCCTAGCCAGGTTCGAACTGGCGACTTCAGAAGGAGGATGATTAATCAACTGTTGCGAATTAGTATGGAGCTGTGAAGAACTGAGAACGGTGAACATACAATCTGACGTCCTGACCACTAGACTATAGGACCTGATCCGATGTTTTGACGACCTTGTTAACGAGAGTTAGGAGGGTGCCAAACATGCATAGTTTGCCCATTGCAACCCAAGTTGCGCTACCGATACTGAAGCTGAACAAAGAGAACAAGGCGGAATTATCAAAGGCTTGGCCAATGGTAGTTCTGCCGAGGCTTCTATTCCCGGCGCAAGCTGCGCCCAAGACGGAATGGGGTCTTTTTAATTCCAAATATCCAGCCGGGCCCCTCGACATTTCCCTAGGCTTGGAATTACTGGAATTTGTCAGAAGGCTCGCCAATTCCCACCCGATCTGCCCCTCCACCCCCGATGTTCCGATGTTTTGTCAGCAGCGATGACGGAGAGACACCCAATCCAATCCCCATCCCGGATGCGTGTTTGGTGAAAAAAGCAGCGCAAATTGTGTCATCGCGCCCGTGGCTGATTGCATCAGTGCGTGCATCACGACTTATTCATCACGCAAAAAGGCGGCGTATCAGTAGAACTGCGTAGTGTATATATATACGTGTCTCATCCCCACCTAGACTTTTTTTCTCCATTCTTGCTGTTATTCTTTGACTCCCTAATACAATCCCGCATCTAGATACCCCCCCATTCAACACTCGTCACTCATCACCCATATCTGCCCCTCTAACGATAACCCCTCACCGAAACCAAACCATCACCTACCATCACCTACCACCACCACAAATTTAAAACGACCAACTCTCAACAACACCAAAACCCCACCTACAAACAGCCCATCATGTCCGTCGTCGAGATCAAGTCCAAAGCCGAGTTCGACGAGCTCCTCAAGGCCAACCCCTACGTCGCGGTGCAAGCCCACGCCACCTGGTGCGGCCCCTGCAAGGCCATCTCACCCTTCTTCACCAAGCACGCTACCGCCCTCAGCAAGCCCGACACCGTCGCCTTCGCCAAGTTCGATACCGACGACGTCCCCGAGCTGGCCCACGAGCTCGGAGTCTCCAGCATCCCCGCCTTCTACTTCTTCGAGAACGGCGACAAGACCGACTCCCTCAAGGGCGCCAACCCTCCCGCCCTCCAGAAGGCCGTCACTACCCTTGCTGCCAAGGGCGATGAGCCTGCTGCTGCCCCCGAGGAGCCTACCCTCAAGACCGACGAGAACTTTTAGATGCATTATCGCAGCAGAGCAGTGATGGCTGCCACAGCTAGGCGGTAATGGCGAAACAATAGCGTTGGGTCAAGGAATGAATCACACACAACCAAACCACGGTATCTATACTGGCTTGCTTGCAATCCAGCATGGGAAGACTGTGACAATACACAGCCTGGCACGAAACAATCACTCGCCTATACCACACCGACAGGAACCACTTGTACACTCCCCGGCAGTGGAATACGAGGCGATGCAGCAGTAGAGTCTAGCAAAGCAATTAAAAAAACATTCATGAACAGAATCAATCCTTATTGTGACAAGAGTGACTAATCAACAGTCTACCAGGACGACAAACGGTCTGTCCGCCTTAAAACACCCCAATCATCCATCACATCCATTTGTTTCTTGTCAGGAGACTTGATCTCAAATAACTATACCTCACCCGTCGCAACGCCCGCGAATTGAATTCGTCCTCTTCTCATGGCCCGTTTGTCTTCACGTATCGCGACCGGGTGCCACGCAACATGGTGCTCGACGGCGAGGGCAAGCTCTGGCTTGTCGACTGGGACAATAGGCGACTTTGCACACTTTTGTTTGCAGCGGGTAGAGCAGGTTTGCGCTGTCGCGATAGAGGCGATTCGCCTAGATAGCTGGCGGGTTCCACAATAAGGAGTGCTAGTTAGCGGAGCTTGTGATGTCCAGGAGTACGCTGTTTAGCATTAGGCGACGACATAACGTAAAAGCGAATAAATATGCAGCTGTTTCAAGGGGGGGCTGACAATGATGATTTGTTAGGAGAGCTGGGAAACCTGTCGAGGACGATTTGTGAGAAGAGTTGGGGAAGAGTGGAATGTTTGGTGCTGCAAAAGGCAGTTTGGTGCAATAAACACGAGATTCAACTTGAGTGTGTTGACTCAATAGTGCTCGATGTCTTCTTCAAAGACCCAGTCTAGGCAAGTCATGTACGTAGTTGCAATCTCACATGAGTACTAAAACTCCGTGTTGAATGTTTTCGCTTGGCTAGCAATGTCTATAGAGAATCCTACAACATGGTATACTTCCAAGATCGAAAGTGAACAACACTCGACTAATACACTTGTTGCTCTCCTCCTCGAGCTCACTCCCTCTTCTCATCCCCCACCGGCCAGTCAACTTCCGCCCCTTCTTTTTTAAGTTGCCCGTCGCCCTAGACTCCGCTGTAATCCAATCCCGGACAGAGGGGGTATCGTACTCGTACAGAAGCCCTCCAAGAGGCCAATATTTCACCGAAAAACGCCGTTATCCCAACTTTGCAGTTGTCCCAGAAACACAAAGAAAAATTGACAAATGATTGATCGCTGACATTCGCTGTCATGATGCAGGTTAAATGAATGAATCCACATCTCCAGTTCCTCGTCGGAGTCTAGCTTCTCTTCCACGTCGCAGTCGGCACTTCCAGAGTGACTCGTCATCCTCGTACATCCTTTGGCGGAACATTCATCGTGAGACTTTGCTCAGTTCGCTCGTCTTAATTGGAATCTGTCAGGTCAGGGCTCATACGCCCTACTCCCGAGTCCACTCGTTTCTTGGGCGAATTGAGGTTACTGAGGTAATCCCTCGTGTCGAACGATCCTTTTTTGCCATTCTCCTGGGACAGCTTTGATGACAACAAAGGCCCTGCAGACCTCCGACGGTTAGTCACATCCTCATTTTTCAGCCTGTTGATGTCCGTAATTCCCAGACTCATGCGACCAGCGGCCTTATCTCTGGGCATCAAGTATTCGCTGCCCGAGCGAGTATGGCCTGTTGACCCATTGCTGCCGCCAGGATTTTCCAACACCGTCGAATATCGTAGACTTGGGAGTCCGCCTCTCCAACGGCTGAGGTTCCAGAACCTGCCTTCTCCTTTCTCGTCTTTGCCTTCAGAGTCTGATGCGGTAATCAGGTTGAAGCTCGGGGTCGGAGGACTCATCGGGCCATTGAAGTTCTTGTCCTGTTCCCTAGTCGACCTGAACGTCGTCCGCGATCGCATACTGCCAGTTGGGCTCGTGAGACCGTGGTTGCGGCCAACGGGGCTTGAGGCATACGGCTGCTTCCTCGCCTCCGACGCCAGGTTGACTGCGGATGTATTGACTGGAGAGCGGTTCTGTTTAGTGGGTGAAATCGATCGATCACTACGATTCGGCGTCCCACTCCAACTTGCGGTCCCTTCGTCAATGTCTTGACGCCAACTGTTGATCCTGTCCGATGCATGCTGCAGCTGGATCGGGTTCGGTCCTCCGATGTTGAGAGAGCCACGTCGTGAATGGATGCGGCTTCCTCCACTCGTTCGGGTCATGATGCTACCGGTCCGGCCAACTCCTGCGATCCTGCCAGAGAACTTGGATCCCGACTCCCAAAGTCCCTGTTGTCGCTTGGTATAAGCGCAGTCCTGTCGAAACACCTTGATCGTTCCCGTCCTGTCAGTGGTGATGACGATATGGCCATCGAAATGTTTTGAGCGTTCCAGAAATGCAGGCGTCTCCTCGGGCCGTTTTACGACGACAGAGGGTTCATCACTACTCTCGTCCCCCTCAGACAATGCCGTCTGACTCGTGGCGCTCTCCTCCAAACTGCGCAGCATGACAGGTGGCGGATTGCACAAGTCATAGATTGGGTCTCCCGAGGCACTCAAAAGAAGTCGCGTCTTGGTTGGAGCCATCAGGGCGGTGGTGACAACTTCGGGATGCGCGTCGAACGATTCGTAGGGCTGCTTGTCCTTCAGCTCGCTGTCTTGCGAGTTGAGCTTCCAGATGTAAGCCTTGCGATCCTCGCTACCGCAAACAATGTATTGAGCGTCGTCGCTGAAGCGGGCGTTTATCTGGCTCGACTGGTTCTCCAATCCCTTGTACTTGACTTGGATGACCTTATCATTCAGATTGTAAACCCGCACCCGGGAGTCGTTGGAAGTGATGAGGACCTTGATGATTCCCTTGTCCGGACCAGAAGTTACTGCCAATGTCCGAATACCCGTAATCTTGCTTCCCTTGGCATTTTTGCCTCTTGAGGAACGGACGTGGATCTGATACCTCAGCTTCAGCCCCTCGGTAATGTAGAATGTGGCCATGCCGCTCAACACGCCACAAATGGCCATCTTTCCATCGGGAGTAAACGCTACCGCCGTGATGAATTCCCCAGTGGTGACCTCAAATGCGACTGTCCTATCCGGAATGCTCCATAGTCTGAGTTGTGCGTCCAGAGAACCAGCCAGGAAAAAGCGGTCATCGGTAGGGTGAAAGGCAATCGATGTGACCACGTCCTTATGCTTAAACGTGCACAGGCAGTCGTTCCTGGTCATGTGCCATAGTCGAACCGTCTTGTCCATAGACGAAGACAGAAGAAAGTTGTTTTTGCTCCAACTCAGGGCCAACACCTCTCCGGTGTGCCCATGAAACTCGCGGACAGGCTTGCTTCGAAACACCGGCGCGCTCAGTCGCTCTCCGGTTGTTCCGTTCTGTGCTTCCTCGTCTTCGTGAGCCTTGCGCTCTTCGGGTGTCGAAATGACTGCAAAAACACGGACTATCTGATCTTTACCGGCAACAGCCAGGTACCGACCATCCATACTGAATTCGGCAGCCCAAATAGCATCGCCTCCTTTTAGAATCTTGCTTCCCACGGCGGTTGCCGGAGCTCGGCCTTGGGTGGCAGTCGGTCGCTTGGTGCCCATAAGCTCCTGGGCTAGGAATAGGTGGTTGAACTCGCGGTCCTTCTTGTTATGCGCCTTGACCCGGATATATCGTGGGGGCTCCTTGTAGAGCGGAATGTAGCCGCCTCCCGCCCCGATGACGGATGTGAGCACCTGAGCGTGGGTGCCATCGGTTCGCAAGTCGCCCAGTTCTGAGTCAGAATCCTGCTCATCTT